TCTGATAGGTAAGTGGTTAGTTTTTTTTACATTTGCAAGATGTTTTGTTTACATTTTGAAAAAAAGACTGTTTTGCTTTTACTAACACGACTGACTGGTAGTTTGAACTCCCCAAAATATTACAATATATATGCAATCATGTGTGTAATAATTGGCATTACAATAGTTTTTTTTTTTTTTTTTAATTTAAATATTTATTGATTTTTCAGATTATTACAAATTTCCATCATAAACACACTTAAATATCCAAAACCATTCTTCATTACCCTTTCTAAAACTACTCCCACTCCCGACCATCCCTCCTCCCTACCACCCCCCCCCCTCCCCACTCCCCCCTGTCAACCCACTCTGCATTCTCCCCCCATCTTTTCTACTAAAGCAAGAGGACCTTACCTATCATCCCAGATTATAACTTCCTATATTTCACATTCAATCCAGATTTTTCCCATTTCCCATTTCACATAGTATAGCCCCATCTTGTCTTCCTGCATGTGATAGAGTTTTTCCCATCCTACTAATCTGGTTCACTCTATCTACCCCAGTCTTCCTCCTTCGGCACCTCTGTTTTCCGCCAGAACTTGGGTATCAAACCTTTTGCAGCATTTAGATACAGCATTTAGATAGTACCATATACCTGATTCTTTATATTTATTTACTGATAGCTCCATACTATGTAAAAAGACAGATCGTTGGATCCAACCCTATATCAATCTCAGTTATCATCCCAACCGAATAAACTATTGACTTCCAGAATACTTGAATTTTTGGACATTCCCACCATGTATGAAACACTGTGCCCATCCCTCCACACCCCCGCCAACACCACGGTGAATTCTCCCCACTCATCTTGTGCTCAACGTTCGGTGTAATGTGCCATCTTGTCAAACACTTATAGTTTATTTCCACCTCTCTCATACTTACATTCTTGTGAATTAATCTATATATCTTTTTTTTGTTTATCCCCATCTATAACCACCCCCATGTCTCTTTCCCATTTTGTTATATAAATTGGCTTTGTGTTTGTGTGTCTAATTCAGTGAGTATTTTATATACTTTGGCAATACCGTGCTTCCCATCCCCTCGTGATTCCAACAACCTTTCGAACAGATTCCAATCCTTTTTAGATCTCAAGGGTTTCGGGAGATTCCCAATAAAACATTTTAATTGATGATAGCGCCACTCATCTATCCTAGTGAAAATCTCTCCTTTTTCTCTTCCAAGTCCTTAAGTGGTCTCAATTCCCCCTCCACCATTATATCTCTCAATTGGACATCCTCCTTTTTTAAACCATTTCCCTGTTATCTCTTCTCTACCTGGAGGGAAAAACTCTGTGTTTCCAAGTGGCATTAATATAGAATTGAAATCCCATTTCATATTTTTGTGTAGATTATCCCAGACCCTTAAAACATTTAAAGTGTATAAGCTTGTGCTACCTTTTATTCCTCTATACTGTGCTGACACCCATATAATTTTACTCAAATTAGTTCCACTGAGTTCATTTTCAATTTTAACCCAACTTTTCCCTTTTATATTATACGTCCAATTGTAAATTCTTGCTAAAATTACTGCTTTGTAATATCTTTTAAAATCTGGCACTCCCAATCCACCCTTCTCTTTATTCCTACTTAACAATTCATAGGATATTTTTGGTTTTTTATTCCTCCATATATATCTTGTTATCATTCTTTTTATTGTCCCTATAGAAAGCTTCTGGGAGTTTAATTGGAATCATTTGAAATCTATATAGAATTTTGGGTACAATTACCATTTTTACCAGGTTTATGCGTCCTATCCATGACGCGTTTCCTCCTTCTAATGTTTTTAATTCCTCCTTAATCTTGTTTAACAGTGAAATATAGTTTAGTTTATATAAATACTTATATAAAGCAGTGAGTTTTACTCCTAAGTATTTTATATCTCTTTCTCTCCATATAAAGGGGAATTCTTTTTGTATTTTTTCTTTTTCACTTTTTGGAATATTAATGTTTAGAATCTCCGTTTTTGTTGGATTAATTTTTAAGTTTGATAGTTCTCCATATTCCTTCATTATTTTCATTAAATTTGGGAGTGTTATCCTGGGGTTCTCTACATACAACAACAAGTCATCCGCAAAGGCAGCCACTTTGTGTTCTGTAGTTTCTATCTGAATTCCCTTTACATCCCTATTTTTCCTTATTGTTGACAACAAGGGTTCCAATGACAGAACATACAACAATGGGGACAGTGGACAGCCCTGTCTTGTTCCATTTGACATCTCAATGGGTTTTGACCACTCCCCATTTACCATAATAATTGCGGAGGGCTCCCTGTATAATTTTCCTATCCACTCTCTCATTCTAACTCCAATCCCCAGGGCTTCCAGAGTATCCATCATGAAGCCCCAGTGAACTCTATTGAATGCCTTTTCGGCATCGATTGAAAGCACTACCACCGGAGCTTTTCCTTTTCTACTTTTCTGAATGAGCATCAGGGTTCTCAACCCGTTGTCTCTACCCTCCCTCCCTGGGACAAAGCCCACCTGATCCCCATGTATCCATTCAGGCATTAGTTCTTTCAACCTATTTGCTAAAACCTTTGCGTATAACTTAGTATCTGTGTTCAATAATGAAATTGGTCTATAACTAGAGCACTGAGAAGCATCTTTTCCTTCCTTATGAATAAGTACCACATGTGCCTGTAGAGATTCTCTCCTCACATCCATCCCAACTCCCAAGGCATTCATATATCTCTTCAACTTAGGTATTAATAATTCACTGTATTTTTTATAGTACCTCACGGTGTAACCATCTGGTCCTGGACTTTTCCCCGTCACTGTACTTTTTAGTGCTACTTTTATTTCTTCCTGTGTAATTTCTACATCTATGGAATTCAATTGTGCTTCTCTTAATTTAGGTAGGTTCGCATTTTTTAGATATGTCTTCCTTTTTTCAATATTCACAGTTTCAGTATTTTTAAAGAATCCTGGGGACTGATATTATACAACTTTCTATAGTACTCCGTAAACACTTTAACAATCTTTTTAGTTGAATGGACCCATTCCCCCTTGGGGCTTTTTATTTTTTCTATATAGTTCCTGTTTTTCTTTTTCCTCAGGGCTCTCATTAAATATTTTCCTGGTCTATCTCCCCATCTATATCTCACACTTTGTTATAGACTCTTCTCCTCTCCTCTTCAATCAAAGTCTCTAGTTCTTCTTTCTTATTTATTACCTTCTGCCTTGTTTCTTTTGTTATTTTATTCTTGTGTATCTGTACCAGGTAAAATATTTCTTTTAGGAGCCCACTTATTTTCTCTCTTCTTTCTTTTTTGCCCCAATCGCGATCAAGATTCCTCTTATATATACCTTATGGGACTCCCACACTGTAGCTATCGACACATCCTCTGTCTCATTCTCCTTAAAATATCGCTTAATCTCTTCCCCAATCTTCTGAGCAGTATCTTTATCCAGGAGAAGTGCCTCATTCATCTTCCATCCTAAGCCTCCTGTCCACCGCCTTCCCCATCCCATTTTCATTATAACAGGGGCGTGGTCCGAAAGACATTGCTTCTATTTCTACTTTAACCAGAAACTCAATAAGTTGGTGATCTATTAATATATAATCCAGTCTCGAGTATATCTCATGTGCATTTGAGAAGAAGGTATAGTCTCTATCATTCATATGCATAATTGTCCAGATGTCCACTAATTGGCACTCGTGGATCACCTTTTTCAGTAATCTCAGAGACCTACCCCCCTCCCTCTGCACAGAAGAGGTTGCATCCTTTTGTGGGTCCATACAAAAATTGCAATCTCCCGCTATTATCAAATGGCCTTTTTTAAAGTCCATCAATCTTTTCAGCACACTCTTCAAAAATATCTCCGGCTTCTTATTTGGGCAATAAATATTGGCTATTGTACACTCAATTTCTTGTAGTTTACCTTTTAAAAACAAGAATCTCCCATCCGGGTCTATCTTTCTATCCTCCAGCTCGAACCTTATATTCTTTGCAAACCCTATTGCTACTCCTTTTGCTCTTTTAATCAGGGAATCTGCATAGTACCATGTTGGATAATATTTAGATTTTAACTTAACATTTTGACTCTATCTCAAAATGTGTCTCCTGCAAAAATACTACTGAAGATGCTCTATGTTGTAACTCTTTAAATAATCTAAATCTTTTCCCAGGACAATTCAACCCATTCACATTATAAGTTATAAACTGTATTTCTTCCATCTTCCTTCTTAAATCTCTCTTCTACTCCTCCATCTCCTCCTCCTGATCGTACCAGTTTTGGGACCCTTTGAGCCCACTTCCTTTAGCTTCTTTATTCTTCATATCCTGTATAGGTCTTATTCTCTTCTATATACTCAGGATAAGTAAATGTTAAATGTCTATATTAGTGTCCCAGCCTTGCCTTACTCTTTGTCCATTTACTTTTTCTTTTCTGAGTCCTCTTAATTCTCTTCTCTTCTCCACTTCTTCATGACCCTTGGGAATCCCTCCCTCCTCTCTTTCACCCTTTGCTCCTCTATACAATACAGTATGACAGTTAGCACACAGCAAGCCCCAGCCGCTCTCACTCACCCTCCTCTTTCTTCCTTTTCTGCGAGGCGGCTCCGGGTTTCAGGTGTAGGGCTTTCCTTGTGTCAGGGATCCCGGCTCCGTCTGCCGCAATCGCGGCTCTGTCCCCCGCGCATGCGCATTGGCGGCAGATCACGCCGGGACACAGGAACTAGGTCCCGGCGAGCCGCGGCTGACAGGACGCCGCGCATGCGCAGTAGAAACCGCGGGGCGCGCCTCAGCTGTCCAATGACAGCCGGGGGCGCGTCCTAGCCAGCCAATGACAGTGCAGGGCGCACTATTTAAAGATGCCCTGCACTGTCACAAATTGCCGCAAGGTCTATATGTGATCCTGAAATACCTGCTCCTGCTGTGACCCTGTTTTTTGACCCTGACTACGCTGCCTGCCCCTGAGATTGACCCGGCTTTGTTCTGACTATTCTACCCGCTCCTGTGATTGACCCGGCTTTGTTCTGACTATTCTGCCTGCTCCTGCGTTTTGACTCGGCTTATCCTGACTGTTCCTACGGATTGATTTACCTGGCTGACCCTGCGTGTGACCCGACTACTCCTAGCCCGCCGATTCGGTACCCCGCTTACCCCACGGGGCCACTATCCGTACCACCCTGCTGGGGCCGCCATCCTCTTCACAGCTGGCTCTCCTGGTACCTACATACATCCCCGGAGGCCTCCTCGGCCGCTGGTGGCCCGCTCAGAGGTCGTGACCTGGCCCGGGACTGTTTCAAGTCCATCCCCACCATCAGGGGCCCTGGTGAAAGCACAGCCCGGGCTTAGACCCCACGCTCTGGGTAGGTCTACCAGCTGGCAGACGGAGGGCTCCGCCTGGCGGATCCTAACACCTTGATAGGTCAGTCCTTAGGGGGATTCCTCTGGATCTCTTGCTCTTCACTTTTATATCCCCTTTTTATTAGGGGTCCATCCGTGGAGAGAAAAACTGGGTCTCATGGGTCCACTTCAAACCGGACAGCATGCGGGGGAACGAATCCAGGAGCAGACCGGCACCGCCTTCTCTCCTCGGGAAGCCGGCTTGCTTCTTTTCCTCCCAGTGCTCCTCCACGGTGGACCACGTGGTCACGCCGCGTCACCTCGTCTCCCAGCAACCTGGCTCGCCGTCCCATGATGCCCCGGGGGGATCAATCTCCGTCTCCACCTCCCAGCTCCTCACATCCCCGGTTCTCTGCTTACTCCGCCGAGTCCTTCCGCCCTCCGGTGAGTCTCACCCCACATTCACTTACATCAGGAGGGCCCCTGGGGAGGTCGGGAAGCAGAGCCTGGCGGAGAGCTACTACCTCGCGCTCTCCTCAGCCACCATGTTCAGGCTCCTCCCCTGGCATTACAATAGTTATATTTAGCTAGATATAAATAAAATTGCAGCGTTAAATATAAAATCTCAAATTCAGTCATAAAGTGCTTTGGTGAAACAGACGACATCCAGTGACATAGACGTAAAATGCACATATACCTCACTTAATATTGTCTGTTCACTATATTCACTAAAGCACATTATGATTGAATTTGAGATTTAATATTTAGCGCTGCACTTTTATTTATATCTAGTTTTGTGGGTCTTGTTACCTCTGCCCAATTTGTGCTAGCAGCTTTAGACACTGCGCTCGCCATACATCTTGTATTCTAGTTATATTTAGCTTTGTGACCTATTTTCACCTCTTTGGCCCTTACTGATGAATAAACTCTGGTTATGGTAAATCACAGCCATTAAAGCCTTGCAAGGGGTCTGCCACTGGAACCATGGAATAAGCAGAGAGACAATAACCATGTAGTCCAGGGGTGCTCAGACTTTGAAGAGTAAAGACCACTTAAATGATTGTGTTGCCGGTCGTGGGCCAAAATGAAATGAAATGGTTCAGAATTTCGATTTTTTTTTTAATTTTAAATAGCATTTCCTCCTGAAACCATTGAATGGAGGCGGGGGGGGGGGGGGAGAGAAGGAAAAGCCAGATTTCAGCTGTTGCAAGAGGAAAATGGAGAGGATCAGTTTCTGTATATGCTGCCCCTGCCATTCTTCCTGTCCAAGTGTAAAACAGAATGTGACAGGAAGGCCACATGGACCTAGTGGTTAGGGAGGTGTGCTAAAAACATGTCTCAGCTATGGGGCTTTACTGCTCCACAAACCGCAAATGTAAACCAGCCCTTACTGTCCTGAGCCCCCATAAGGCTGCTTTCACATTGATGTGCACAGAGTACAATGCACCTATGGCTTTCCTGCAAGTTAGCTGCGCTTTGCTATAGACGTCTTTTATATCTTGTGGGTGTGGTGCACTTTCTGAAAGACCAGCAAAACTCCTGCATTCAGGAGTTTTGGTGCACTTTCAGAAAGTGCACCAAACCTGTCTATGGCTAATCCTCAGAAAACCCACAAGTGCACTGCGCTGCACCCATGGATTAGTGTGAAAAGAGCCTAATAGATGTTAACCCTTACATACAGTAGGTGCTAATATGCCCATTGCAGTATATGTGTTTGTTTAATGCACTGACTTTTTTTTTCTCTTTCAGCTTCTACTCTCCAGGCTGTTAGAAAGGTCCCAGGTGAGGTGCAATTGGTATCACTCTGCCTGGGACAGGAGCCGGCACTACAGAGGAAGCATCCGTTTATATTGTGCCTGCTCTCCGAGGCCGCCTGCTTCCTCTGCTGCTGGCCACTACCGGCTTGCACTGTGAAGCTCTGGGATGAGCGGTAGGCAAATCCAGATCACAATCAAGGGGATGCCGACCCCAGGCATGCACTTCCCGAGTTTGAGGTAGTGGGCCACATCAGAGGGCACTGAGGGCCACATGTGGCCTACAGGCCACAGGTTGAGCACCCCCTGATGTAGTCAATATCAAGAATATAATTATATATAAAAGATATTATATGCAGTATATAATTAATATTATTAATATATGTTGTCATATTACTATATATTGCCATACAATGCCAGGTCATGTTTCAAAATGCAGTTTTTTTTTACAGTGGCTTTGGAAAAATAAAGTACAGTTTATCATGCTATGAATTAGTGTTGTTTGCATTCCGATCAGATAAATGCATTATGCATGTCTATATGCTTTGTGAAGCCTTAAGGATAGATTTGTAATAAGCATGCTCTTTTGAGATTTGCAGAAGTTATCTTTGTACAATGAAACACATAAATTATTAATTGTATATAGAAATGTTGGAACACTACTAAGCAGTAGAGGTTGAAGTTGATGATACTGTAACATGGGGTTCTGGCAGATGCTGGAATGCATTCAAATTTGAAAGATGTATATAATTAGCAAGCTATTACTTGTGTGTGTCTGATAAAGTGGGGAAAGGGGCAGCCCAGGGGTTTTGTGATTTTGGTGATGATATCTCACTGTCACTGTTCTTTTATAATAAAAATAAAAATTCACCTTAAGAATTTGACTCCTTTGTAATGGTCATGGCAAGTGAACAAACCTAGAAACTCAAGTGCATAGAGCTTTCTATGGCCGTCAATGATAGATGCAACATATTTAGTATTTTGACAGCTTGGTGTGGCTGACAAAAACTGACAATAGTTATCAATATATGTATTCAAATCTGGCTCCCCATTTCTTTCCTGATCATGCTGAGGTGCTTGTTCAAAGGGCCTTCATGTCGTAGTTTTGACAGCAGCAGAGGATTCACCTCAAAAACTACACTCAGATCAGCCCCTTTGTCTGAGAGCTCTCAAGTGGCATAGATGATTCACGCTGTTAGTTTGTTGGTCACTTGGGGTAATTCATCTCATGCGGAGAGCTACTGTTTATGCCCTTGGGGTCACATTGTATCCACTTAAGATCAGGAAGGTTTTACCCTCTTTATTACCAGGGCTTTTTTTGCTATTCGACTGTGCTATTTTAATTGGCAATTATGCTGTCATGCAACACTGTACGCAAGTGAAGTTTATATCATTTTTTTCAGCTTTCTTTTGGTGGTATTTGATCACAACTGAGTTTTTTATTTTTTATTATATAAGTGAAGAAAGACCAATGATTTTGAAAAAAAAATATTTTTAACTTTCTGTTATAATACATATCCAATAAAAAAAAAGTAAAAAATATAATTTCTTCATAAATTTAGGCCAACATTTACCCTGCTACATGTCATGTTTGTGCGAAAGTTATAGCATCTACAAACTATGGTATATATACTGGAACTTATGCAGTTATAATGCTATACTGGTAATGGCAGTGATCAGAGACTTATAGTGGGACTGTGATAGTGTGGAAGGCAATCTGACGCTAACTGATGCTGGCTGGAAGGGACACTAAATGACTAACTGACATTGACATAAATGGTGACATTAATACAGTGATCAGTGCTAATACTGTACACTGTCACTGTACTAATGACACTGGCTTGGAAGGGGTTAACATCTAGGGGCAATCTAGTGTAATGTGTGTGATATGTGCTGCTTTTGCTAAGAGATTTGGCTGTTTTTTTTCCTGCTTTGCAGGGAAAAGAAACAGCCAAAACACTGCTCTGTGTACAGAGCACTGTGTTGTTTGTAAACACAGTGTTCTGTGCTGTGATTGAAAACAGCTGATCAGCAGGCCCCGGCCATAAATCTTTGGTCCTGCTGTTTTTTTATTCACAGTGTGGGACAGATATACACTATATTGTCAAAAGTATTGGGACATCCCTCCAAATCATTGGATTCAGGTGTTCCAATCACCTCCATGGCCACAGGTATACAAAATCAAGCACCTGGGAATGCAGACTGCTTCAACAAACATTTTGTGAAAGAATGGGTCGCTCTCAGGAGGTCAGTGAATTCAAGTGTGGTACCCTGATAGGTTGCCACCCGTGCAATAAGTCCATCTGTGAAATTTCCTTGCTACTAAATATTCCATGGTACACTGTTAGTGGTTTTTTAACAATGGAAGCAACTGGGAACAACAGCAACTCAGCTATGAAGTGGTAGGCCATGTAAAATGACAGAGCGGGGTCAGTGCATGCTGAAGCGCACAAAGCCCAGAAGTCACCAACTGTCTGCAGAGGCAATAACTAAAGACCTCCAAACTTCATGTGGCCTTCAGATTAGCACAACAACAGTGCATAGAGATCTTCATGGAATGGGTTTTCAATGGCTGAGCAGCTGCATCCGGGCCTTACATCACCAAGTGTAATGCAAAGCGTTGGATGCAGTGGTGTAAAGAACACACCACTGGACTCTAGAGCAGTGGAGATGTGTTCTCTGGAGTGATGAATCGCTCTTCTCTGTCTGACAATCTGATGGACATGTCTGGGTTTGGTGTTTGACAGGAGAACGGTACTTGCCTGACTGCATTGTTCCAAGTGTAAAGTTTGAGAGAGGGGGGATTATGGTGTGGGGTTGTTTTTCAGGGTTTGGGCTTGGCCACTTAGTTCCAGTGAAGGGAACTCTTAAGGCATCATAATACCAAGACATTTTGGACAATTTCATGCTCCCAACTTTGTAGGAACCATTTGGGGATGGCCCCTTCCTGTTCCAACATGACTGCGCACCAGTGCACAAAGTGTATCTACAGCCAAAACAATTTTTTTACATTTTTGGATAAAGTAGTGGTAGTAGTAGTAGTAGTAGTGTGTGTGTGTAGGGGTGGGGGGTGTTACCTTCTAAATATCTAGAAAAATACCTGTCACCATATTGTTCAACAATCCGCTCAGTGAAAGTGCATGTACATTTGTTCTGTGCAAATGGAGCAAAGAAAGAAATGATTTTAGTCTATTTCCTATTCTAATCAATTTTTTTTCACTGACTTAAAATGGAAAATATGGCGTTTTCATAAGAATTTCCTATATGATGTCTCTAGTGGCCAAATGTGGTATTTTCGGTTTAAACCACCTCCACTGGATATAAATGGCTTCC